CTCGTCACTAGTACTCCGCCCGGCCAGAGGAGGCCCGTCAATGGACTTTGGAATTCGAATCGTGTTATCTTTTTATATTTGTTAAGCGTAATAAATTTATTTAAATGATCAAAAGTTTCGTTCGTCCCTTCTCGATGTCATAGAGACAGCTCATCGACACATTGTTTAAAAATGTATAAAAGATCTTGCCCATAACAGTGTATTATAATAGTGAGCTACCTCCGTTTTAAACATTAGAGGCTGTAAGGAAGCGTAAGGACTCGTCGATTGCCGATTGTTATTGCCAGTAAAACATTCCGATTTGTTAAAATATTAAGAGATTTTCTGTACATACCTGAATTATTCATAAGACCCACCGTTGAATACTCACCTGTATGTAAACTGTATTTATATTAAGATATTAAAGAATGTCCAATATAAATGTTATATTTTTTAACTTCCTGTTACATACTTGCAACACAATATAATGTTTCCTCCGACATAATATATTCCTTTCTTGGAATGGCAAATAAAACAGCATTCCATAATAAACTTGGATATTTATTTGCAACAAAACAAATTACATTTTATAATATTTACAAGAATATAGTGAAATCATTAAAATATTTATCAATATAAAAAGGGGGGAAGGGGATTAACATCGTGAAGTACACCCTGACTGTGACAATACGGTGTGCGCTGACACACACCAACAAGTTTTATCTGCTTACACATATTTAGTGGTAAATTCTACAATTTTTAACACACAAACTACAACTCACATCAGAAAATATACAATGTTAAAATAATTCCCACATAACAATTCATTCATAAATCAGTCATACAAAAATAAATTTTAAGCATTTCTAATTCATTCATGAGAAAAATCGTCCAAAACAAATAGAAACTTTCGAAATCGATTTCAAATTCAAATATAATTTTGGACAGATATTGAATAAAATACACAACTCCATATCTAAATTCTGCTTCATATACGAAGAAAATAAAATTATACATTAAACTGCAACACAACTCTAGTGACAAACAATCAGTCTTACAAAAACCATACATTCGCTAAGCGGTCTGCTTAGCAAAGGTTCCTAATTACCAATTTACAAACACCGCGAACTGAAACTCTTCATACATACTTTTGCTCTGCTTTGCCGATGTACTCATGACGTCACGAGTCAATGCTGCGGTCACTTTGCGGCGCGACGAGCGGAGCGGGGCACAGCAGGCTAAAATCTCAGCTTAAATAGACATTTAAATAAAATGAAAATGTCTATGTAAGTTGAGTTTTTAGCCCACTGTGCTCCATTCCGCCACGCTCCTCGCAACATCGTGACCGCGGCCTTACAATACCTAGACAATTATAATATTCGATTATTGTTATTGCTGATGTAAAATTCAAAAATGTATGGAACTGACAAACCCTCTCGATAACAAGTGCGTGTCACGCATATTTCTGCATATTTTGACACTTAAAGACTAATCAAACATCATTTTGTCCAAGTATCATTGTGAGGGCCATCGGCAAACCTGCGTTCACATCCTTACATGATCGGTTACAAGGAATCTAATCTCATATCCTTATTCTGACTAATCTAAAACTCTATATAACAAATCTATATTCTAAGTTAATAATATACAGTAAATACAATAAGCATTTAGACAAGTAAATTTGTAACAAGTATATTATTGCTTGAGAACAGGCACATGCGGCTGATAAGCTACGCGTCTCACTTGATGACTTCGTTATAAAATAATATCCATTTTCTATAAACTAGCCATATTATTTATTTCTCTTCGCTATATAATAATGGAATTTATTAGTCCATTATTATAGTTAAATTATTTATCTTGTTTTTTCATTTTATTTTGTTTTTTTTTTTTAATAATTAGAAAAATGTAATTTAATTTCGGACACTAGTGTATGGTAATTAATAATGGCCAGAGGTAATAAACATTTTTACATTTCAACATATTAATGTATTGTTTTTCGCATATGTTTCGAGTAGACGACACTTATATGAACATTTCTCAAAAATCTTACTTCAATGTGTAATATTTAAATAAATGTTAAGTCTAATCCATTCTATGTGCAACTAACGTCTCTAGAAGTAACATTAAAATATACTTTTCATATATTTTAATTGATTAACGCCTTGTTATTGTTGTTGGCATTGTCTTAATGGAGAGCAAGTTGAACTCTGTTCAAACTATTTTAAAACCAAAACGAAATTAAATGGTTTACTTATTATTATTTGTTGATAAAATTCCTTGTAATAAACAATAAGTTAAAAAGAATAAGTTTAAGATCGTTGTAGTCACCTATTTTATGACACTAGTATTATTAAAAGGTAAGGTACACATTGTCACTATCCAGTCACAGTGATTCTAAACTCACGTCATTGTCGTAGTGACGTGTTTAAAGACAGTTGAATGTAATGCACAGTTCACACTTGAACAGTACAGTTGGACAATCGCGCAAGCTATGCATGGATCGTATGGAATCTCTGGCGCCAGCTAGTTTTCATTGTACCCCAATCGAAAGCCAGTCCAGTTATTCAGCGCTACTGTCCGACAGTACCGGCCAAGTGTAAATTAGGCACATGTTTGATATACAAGATTGCATGTTTAGTATTTACTATCCATGTCTATGTTGAATGTTATATTTTTTCCTCGCTGAACTATGTGTATCGGGCTGCGTTCCTCGCGCGGGGTGCAGCCACGGGGAGGCCTAGCGCGGCAGGGCGCGGCCCCAGTTGAGGTAGACCTTGA